TCCAGTCCAGTTCAGTCCCATCCAGTTCAGTCCAGTCCAGTCCAGTTCAGTCCCATCCAGTTCAGTTCAGTCCAGTCCAGTTCAGTCCCATCCAGTTCAGTCCCGTCCAGTCCCGTCCAGATGTTAGTGTTATTATCCACCATTGAATACATGTGCACTCCATTTTTCTGCCGGCATTGATTAAGCTCATATAGTAGGCCCCGTTTTCCTTCTGTAAGCCCAAGCACATTAGTGTGTTTCACGAAACAAGCACGCTCGACATATCAGGACATCCAGTCCAGTTCAGTCCCATCCAGTTCAGTTCAGTCCAGTCCAGTTCAGTCCCATCCAGTTCAGTCCCGTCCAGTCCCGTCCCGTCCCGTCCAGTCCAGTCCAGATGTTAGTGTTATTATCCACCATTGAATACATGTGCACTCCATTTTTCTGCCGGCATTGATTAAGCTCATATAGTAGGCCACGTTTTCCTTCTGTAAGCCCAAGCACATTAGTGTGTTTCACGAAACAAGCACGCTCGACATATCAGGACAAAAGAACGATCTCGTCTATGCAGATCTCATGAAGTCCCTCAGTTGTAATGGTTCGCTCAAGCAATATTAGACACGTCTTTGATGTTTGTGTAACAAAATATCATTTAACACTCCCACAAGCAAGCACACACACAGGAAATGACATCAAAGATACACTCTTCAGAATGTACTGTATTGATTTATTCAAGTCTGTCTTGTATTTCATTCATGGGTTAGATCAGGGGGGTCAAACTCTTGCACGGTTTAGACTCGTCCCTAATTAAACACACCCGATCCAACTAATCAAGTCCTCTAGGCTTATCTGAGAACTGCATGGTATGTGTGTTGGAGCAGGGTTTCCGGCCCTGCAGGAATGGAGTTTGACACCCCTGGGTTACGTAGTTCAAGACAGTTCAAGCATAAAAATCGAGCGGTAGTTGATCAGAACAGCCTTTACTCCTCAGTCGAGGAAGGAGTAGGTCCTACATCTAACCAGTCAGCTAAATCAGATGAATGTCACGGAGAGCCTTACAAGGGCTAACACTTTAAACATGTCCATAGCTATTTGCTGAATACCGATAACTGGAGGCCTTTTGAAGTCACTAATGCTAAATACTGAACCCTCTTTCAGATGCTAACATTTGTGTGATCTTCTTAACCTCTGTCAGCCCAGTTCAGTCTTCTAAGAGACAAATACAAATTTGATTTCATGATTTTTCTTAACCATTGCTTTCTTTATTAAATGATCTCTTCTGCATGGAACAACACATTAGCTAAGCACTCATCGTGAAATTTCTTCAGCAAACTGAGCACATAATTCAGAGCAGAACGTTTGGATGCCAGTCGCATGTTCAGCTTTTTCAGCTCTGTCATTTCCACTCGTCACCACACTCCCTTTTTATGGCAGTCAAATTAAATAAGAATGAACATGGATTTATACAGTGAGCAAAAATCACAATTCAGCCCAACCCTTTCATCTGAACCATCTGTACTTTGAGCAGAGAGAAGTGGATTCCAGTTAATCATAACACTTATGTTTTAGATTAGTTTACTTTCTTGTGAAAGTTTCACGTTAACTGTGTAGTATGCCAGACTTGAATGAGTGATTGCTTTGTAAGAATGAGTGTGACACCTCACACGAGGCATGTGAGCTTTAGCAGAGACGTTAGTTTATGATTACTTTATTTTATATTTATGACCAAGGGTTTTCTTAACTTGAGGAGTTTGTTGCTACTCTTTGCAATAGCTTTAAAAACCAAGAAGTACTTGAATAATTAATGTTCATGAATAATCAAAGAATTCTTTTATTCTCTGTTGTCTTGGTAAATGAACTAATGAAGGTCTCAGGTAATTACTGTCCAGATGGTGCAGGTGATGTTCAGGAGAACGGCTCATCCTTCACGTCAGTCTCGTGGTTTCCATAGTAACAGAGGATTTATACTTCTCTTGATGGACCTTTGAGCGCAACATGTCTCGAAGTCTAATTTAATACCTTTTGTTCACTTTTCATGTTTCATGTAAATAATGGAAATGTCTGAGTTATGTAATCTTAAACATAAAGCAGTTTTTCTGGCTGTCTTACATTATGTGCAAACAAGCATGTGTTGGGATTGATGTATTATGAATTTTAATGCTAATCGTGCATCAGTGTGATTGAGTGTCTTGACCAGGTCTCAGAAAAAAGATCCACTGATGGACTGTCATAAACTGTTAGGAAGTCGTTTAGTCAGAGATTAATTAGTCTATAATTGGCTGTACATAAAGTCTTCAGTCGTTGTCTAAGCTTCCTAACGTTCAGGTTGTTCTTTTCTCTTCTTCATGAACTTGAAGGGTTTAGTCACCAGCTATTCATTATTTTAAAGGATTTCTTTTTAACAAATTTGAAACATTGTGCGGTTATAATTGAAAGGTATCTCAAAGCTCACAAATAAGATACATAGATGCACACAGGGGATTCATTTCAGAATAACCAACCGATTTATGTGTTTTATGTGTCTTCAAATGTGCTGAAACTTCATTCATTCATCTGAACACTGAACACTGATTCCCAAAACTAAGCAGCACATGAGAGCTGAGAGCACTGGTCAAAAGGTAATTGCTTTTATTTTTAATCTTTTAGAAAAACAAATAACAAAACCGTATTCATGATGACACTAGATACAGTCGATTTTACTTTACATTTTTACAATCTCACATGACAAATACATCAGAAATCTTCCATACAGACTGATAAACTCGCATTCAGGTCACGTGTGAAAGTGATTTGTGTTCGCCTCACTGGCGCCATCTAGTGCCACAGACGCACTACTGCACATCAGTCGGAGCCGGAAGTCCCGCCTTTCAACAGTTTTCCGTTGAGGAAAAGCAATGGGCGCGATTGGCTGACGCGCTGTCCGTCACCGTGTTCTCCACGTCTTACGTCAGCGCGAGCTGTCTGGGAGAGCACGTGAAATACTGGAGCGTAATAAAACGCGTTACAGTAGGTTTATTATTCAGCAAATAGTACATTTAACGACACGTTGTTACAGAACCGTGACTTAAGTTATCGCGAGTAACGGTCAGAACCCAGAAACGCCTTTCAGTCGAGGTCACGCGGAAAGAGCTCGTGATAACACTTTAGCAGGACTGTAATGACAAAAGTTCGTGAATAAATATATTGTTGATGGATAATCCTGAGGAAGATTCGCTGAACCTGCACGAAGATGAAGAAATCATCGAGGTTATCGAGCTCAATGACACAGAACAGACCGCAGGTGTGTGTTTATTACTGAATGTTTTACATGGTGTGTGTGTGTGTGTGTGTGTGTGTGTGTGTGTGTGAGCGAGAGAGTGTGTGTGTGTGTGTGTGAGCGAGAGAGTGTGTGTGTGTGTGTGTGAGCGAGAGAGTGTGTGTGTGTGTGTGTGAGCGAGAGAGTGTGTGTGTGTGTGTGTGAGCGAGAGAGTGTGTGTGTGTGTGTGTGAGCGAGAGAGTGTGTGTGTGTGTGTGTGAGCGAGAGAGTGTGTGTGTGTGTGTGTGAGCGAGAGAGTGTGTGTGTGTGTGTGTGAGCGAGAGAGTGTGTGTGTGTGTGTGTGAGCGAGAGAGTGTGTGTGTGTGTGTGTGAGCGAGAGAGTGTGTGTGTGTGTGTGTGAGCGAGAGAGTGTGTGTGTGTGTGTGTGAGCGAGAGAGTGTGTGTGTGTGTGTGTGAGCGAGAGAGTGTGTGTGTGTGTGTGTGAGCGAGAGAGTGTGTGTGTGTGTGTGTGAGCGAGAGAGTGTGTGTGTGTGTGTGTGAGCGAGAGAGTGTGTGTGTGTGTGTGTGAGCGAGAGAGTGTGTGTGTGTGTGTGTGAGCGAGAGAGTGTGTGTGTGTGTGTGTGAGCGAGAGAGTGTGTGTGTGTGTGTGTGAGCGAGAGAGTGTGTGTGTGTGTGTGTGAGCGAGAGAGTGTGTGTGTGTGTGTGTGAGCGAGAGAGTGTGTGTGTGTGTGTGTGAGCGAGAGAGTGTGTGTGTGTGTGTGTGAGCGAGAGAGTGTGTGTGTGTGTGTGTGAGCGAGAGAGTGTGTGTGTGTGTGTGTGAGCGAGAGAGTGTGTGTGTGTGTGTGTGAGCGAGAGAGTGTGTGTGTGTGTGTGTGAGCGAGAGAGTGTGTGTGTGTGTGTGTGAGCGAGAGAGTGTGTGTGTGTGTGTGTGAGCGAGAGAGTGTGTGTGTGTGTGTGTGAGCGAGAGAGTGTGTGTGTGTGTGTGTGAGCGAGAGAGTGTGTGTGTGTGTGTGTGAGCGAGAGAGTGTGTGTGTGTGTGTGTGAGCGAGAGAGTGTGTGTGTGTGTGTGTGAGCGAGAGAGTGTGTGTGTGTGTGTGTGAGCGAGAGAGTGTGTGTGTGTGTGTGTGAGCGAGAGAGTGTGTGTGTGTGTGTGTGAGCGAGAGAGTGTGTGTGTGTGTGTGTGAGCGAGAGAGTGTGTGTGTGTGTGTGTGAGCGAGAGAGTGTGTGTGTGTGTGTGTGAGCGAGAGAGTGTGTGTGTGTGTGTGTGAGCGAGAGAGTGTGTGTGTGTGTGTGTGAGCGAGAGAGTGTGTGTGTGTGTGTGTGAGCGAGAGAGTGTGTGTGTGTGTGTGTGAGCGAGAGAGTGTGTGTGTGTGTGTGTGAGCGAGAGAGTGTGTGTGTGTGTGTGTGAGCGAGAGAGTGTGTGTGTGTGTGTGTGAGCGAGAGAGTGTGTGTGTGTGTGTGTGAGCGAGAGAGTGTGTGTGTGTGTGTGTGAGCGAGAGAGTGTGTGTGTGTGTGTGTGAGCGAGAGAGTGTGTGTGTGTGTGTGTGAGCGAGAGAGTGTGTGTGTGTGTGTGTGAGCGAGAGAGTGTGTGTGTGTGTGTGTGAGCGAGAGAGTGTGTGTGTGTGTGTGTGAGCGAGAGAGTGTGTGTGTGTGTGTGTGAGCGAGAGAGTGTGTGTGTGTGTGTGTGAGCGAGAGAGTGTGTGTGTGTGTGTGTGAGCGAGAGAGTGTGTGTGTGTGTGTGTGAGCGAGAGAGTGTGTGTGTGTGTGTGTGAGCGAGAGAGTGTGTGTGTGTGTGTGTGAGCGAGAGAGTGTGTGTGTGTGTGTGTGAGCGAGAGAGTGTGTGTGTGTGTGTGTGAGCGAGAGAGTGTGTGTGTGTGTGTGTGAGCGAGAGAGTGTGTGTGTGTGTGTGTGAGCGAGAGAGTGTGTGTGTGTGTGTGTGAGCGAGAGAGTGTGTGTGTGTGTGTGTGAGCGAGAGAGTGTGTGTGTGTGTGTGTGAGCGAGAGAGTGTGTGTGTGTGTGTGTGAGCGAGAGAGTGTGTGTGTGTGTGTGTGAGCGAGAGAGTGTGTGTGTGTGTGTGTGAGCGAGAGAGTGTGTGTGTGTGTGTGTGAGCGAGAGAGTGTGTGTGTGTGTGTGTGAGCGAGAGAGTGTGTGTGTGTGTGTGTGAGCGAGAGAGTGTGTGTGTGTGTGTGTGAGCGAGAGAGTGTGTGTGTGTGTGTGTGAGCGAGAGAGTGTGTGTGTGTGTGTGTGAGCGAGAGAGTGTGTGTGTGTGTGTGTGAGCGAGAGAGTGTGTGTGTGTGTGTGTGAGCGAGAGAGTGTGTGTGTGTGTGTGTGAGCGAGAGAGTGTGTGTGTGTGTGTGTGAGCGAGAGAGTGTGTGTGTGTGTGTGTGAGCGAGAGAGTGTGTGTGTGTGTGTGTGAGCGAGAGAGTGTGTGTGTGTGTGTGTGAGCGAGAGAGTGTGTGTGTGTGTGTGTGAGCGAGAGAGTGTGTGTGTGTGTGTGTGAGCGAGAGAGTGTGTGTGTGTGTGTGTGAGCGAGAGAGTGTGTGTGTGTGTGTGTGAGCGAGAGAGTGTGTGTGTGTGTGTGTGAGCGAGAGAGTGTGTGTGTGTGTGTGTGAGCGAGAGAGTGTGTGTGTGTGTGTGTGAGCGAGAGAGTGTGTGTGTGTGTGTGTGAGCGAGAGAGTGTGTGTGTGTGTGTGTGAGCGAGAGAGTGTGTGTGTGTGTGTGTGAGCGAGAGAGTGTGTGTGTGTGTGTGTGAGCGAGAGAGTGTGTGTGTGTGTGTGTGAGCGAGAGAGTGTGTGTGTGTGTGTGTGTGTGTGTGTGTGTGAGACACTGTAAGGACCAAATGTCCCCACGATAAATACAGATAGTAAACATACTAAAAATTTTATTTTGTATGTAAACAATAAATAAATAAATAAAAACGTTTGTGTGATGTTTTGGTTTGTGGTTGGAATGTCCAAGTCCTCAAAAAGATATAAAAAACATCCATGTGTTTGTTCAGAGGATCTGGCGGAGGAGCTGGAGGACGTAGATTTCTCTGAGGCTGGGAATGCTGGGAATGCGGATGATGATGGATGGGAGATGGAGGATGAGATGGAGTCTGAGCAGGATGACAGTGAACTCACCTTCTCCAAACACACGGGTGACTCCACACACCTCAGCATCTGTGAGAAACGCTTCGTCTTTCATTGGCTCTTACTGAACGCTGTTTTTGATTCGCAGGTTCTGTCTTTTGTGTTAGTTTGGACCCAGTGAGCAACAGTCTCGCTGTCACCGGCGGAGAGGACGACAGGGCCTTCGTGTGGAGCGTGTCTGATGGAGACGTGCTGTTTGAATGCACGGGTCTGTAGAAGTCCACAGCGCTTCTCTGTCTGTCAGCATTAGGGTCGGGTGTTGTTTGAAATTTATCGATTCCGATTCTTAGTGATTCCTAGTTTCAAGTCAAACAGTCCTAACATTTAGATGTCAAACATATTTATTCTGTGTCTTTTTACAAAGCTTTCTGTTGCAGCTGAATAACACGAGCAAAAATCAGCAGCCTGCAGAACACTTAGGCCTACTAGAAGAAGGTTTGCCTACGGTTTTAACAAAAATACCACTGCAAAAATAACTAGACTAATATAAATTTCAAACATTAAGTTGTTAAAGATAAGTAAACAGTAATAAAATTGGAACAAACTAATCAATAACAATAGCAAGCATAAATAATTACAAATGAGAACATTTCAGGTACAGAAATTGAAATCAAAAGTTTAAAAACTCTACATAGTTTTCTTTTCATAAATCAAATATAGATGAATCCTCATTAAAGTTACGAAAGATATTCAGTAAAGTTTAGTGAATGATTTTCTTTTGTTCTTTGATTAAAATGAATGACAGGCAGCAGGTGTTGCTGTCTCTTGAACACCAAACGCCGCGCATCTAAACTGTTACGCATGCGTTTTCAATCCGTTTATCTTCACTTAAGATAGAAAAATGTCTGTGTTTACGATAATATACTGACATAATTTTGTGCATACAGTTTGCAAGAAATACCTTTTCTGCAGTGGAAATACACTGAACGGTTCGAGAACGGACACAAACCGGGAACCAGCACCGGGACCGTGGTTCTCTGTGCTCGCGCTTCAGGTGTGTGCGCGGCACGCACAACAAGTTCTGCAAGCAAGTTCTTTCCCTTCTTGCGGTTAAATGGTTTAAAATCACATGTGTGTGTGTGTGCGTGTCTGTGTGTGTGTCTGTGTGTGTGTCTGTCTGTGTCTGTGTGCGTGTCTGTCTGTGTCTGTCTGTGTGTGCGTGTCTGTCTCTGTCTGTGTGTCTCTGTGTGCGTGCGTGTGTGTCTGTCTGTCTGTCTGTGAGTGTGTGTGTCTGTCTGTCTCTGTGTGTGTGTGTGCGTGTCTGTGTGTGTCTGTCTGTCTCTGTCTGTGTGTCTCTGTGTGCGTGTGTGTGTGTGTATCTGTCTGTCTGTCTCTGTGTGTGTGTGTCTGTCTGTCTCTGTCTGTGTGTCTCTGTGTGTGTGTGTGTGTGTGTGTGTCTGTCTGTCTGTCTCTGTGTGTGTGTGTGTGTGTGTGTCTGTCTGTCTGTCTCTGTGTGTGTGTGTGTGTGTGTGTCTGTCTGTCTGTCTCTGTGTGTGTGTGTGTGTGTGTGTCTGTCTGTCTGTCTCTGTGTGTGTGTGTGTGTGTGTGTCTGTCTGTCTGTCTCTGTGTGTGTGTGTGTGTGTGTGTCTGTCTGTCTGTCTCTGTGTGTGTGTGTGTGTGTGTGTCTGTCTGTGTTTGTGTGTGTGTGTCTCTGTGTGTGTGTCTGTCTGTGTGTGTGTGTCAGGTGGGTGTAGTGCACCTGCAGTGGGAGGAGGCGTCTGCAGTCGTCTACACCTGTAACCTGGCTGGTGTCGTCACTCTGTGGGACGCGAGATCAGGAGTCATGATGTCAGAGTACCGCGGCCACTCAGCTGAGATCCTCGACTTTGTGCTGAACAGGTTAGTCTGTTAAACCGAGAGGCTGTTCAGTTCTGTAGGACTTGCGGTTAATGTTGTCATTGTCTGTAGGATGAAGTACTAAAAATCGCTGAACAGAGTGAACTGTCATATAAAAAGTGCTGTCAAAGTCAAAGCATCAACACCAGATTAAATGTTTTACACCGTTAACTGTTGAACATGGTTAACACATTTACCTAATTAGATATTAAAATGTTTATTGTTCTTTGTTGTTGTTTTTTAAGACTAGGGATGTGCACAACGACTAATTTCATCAACATTTGATATAAATTATGAAATAAATTATATTTAAATGAAAATTATAAAATCTATATAAATATTTAGAAAATTAACAATTCTATTATTCCAGTAGCCAAATCTGATACTGAATGGCACAGAAAATGTTAAATATGCAACATATACGTGCCGTGTTATGGTCATTGTATATTGGGTTATCCACTAACTAATTTAATGTTTTGTCATTTTGACCAAAAAAATAAAACGAACAAGAAAATGATTTAAATATAGCATGTAAAATGTAATGTTGCAATCTTTAAGTGGTACATAAGCCTTAGAGTCATTTCTCTCCAGGTGCAAGTGTGTGTGTGTGTGTGTGTGTGTGTGAGAGAGAGCTTGTGTGACTATTTTAATGTGCTGCTTTGAATACGAAGTAAATGTTGTATAATTAGTTATTACTAAATGTGTAAATAAAATGTTGAAAAGTTCAATGTTAAACAATGTTTAAACAATTACTTACACGTACACACTGTAACATTACAGGAGTCATAACCGGATTTACGTTTGAGAGTGAATCCCTTAAATTGTCTTTGTGTGTGTGGAAAACGCCTCGCTCCTGGAAATGCACTGATGGACGCAGTGGCAGCCATAGCAATGTTTTGGCATCTTGTGCACTTGATATCTGCTATTTTTGACCAAAGTAAAATGACCGCAACTAAAGATGTTTGGCAGTTTTAACTAAACCTCCATTTGCGCATGCACTCGTTTGTTTATGCTTACTTCCAGTATATAGCTTTTGGGCTTATTCTTATTTGCTGTTTTTGCACGAATGAGGCAAGACGTAATCGTGACACAACTCTGATGTGCGTTTAAATACGCCGTTAACAACTATTTGTTTGCTTCAGCTCTGTATGCAGTGTATATAATAATAATAGTTTTGGGAGTCAATTCGGTTGTAGGATGCGGTCGTCACTGTAAATGACTGATCGGTGTGTGTTCAGAACAGGATTCAGCACTCAACAGTGAATTGACAACTGAATTTAGCTGCAGTATGTGTGTGGCTGTAGAGTCAGTGTTAGTTATTTTCTAACGGTTTACTTTTATACTGGTTTCTGTGTTGTGATTGGCTGAAACCTGTAACAAGTGGAGAATGGAACAACTTTGAAATCCTCCTCCATTAGTATCATATACATCAGATCACTTAAATCTGCTGTTTTGCTTTCATTCTTTAAAAAAGAACTGATTGTGTTAAAGCGAAAGTTCACCCAAACATGTCAAACCTGTCATTATTTGCTCAACCTCATGTCATTTCAAACTTTCAGTCATCATCATAACACAAGTGAAGATATTTTTAATATTTGCTCATCATTTTTGTTCATAAAAGTTTGTCAGGTTTTTGTGCATAAAATTCAAATGAAAGGTTAAACATGCCTTATTTTCCGGATGCGTTCTCTCTCTATCATGGGTAAATATGTTGTCGTGTTGTGTTCACAGAGAAGCCTCAGTCGCCGTCACCGCCGGAGGAGACCATCAAGCCAAAGTGTTCTGCCTGCAGAGACCCGACCGGTAGAGACCGTCTTCATCTGGATCCCGTTAGACTTACCTAGTTAATACCTCCTCACTGACACAGCCACCTGTAAACTTCAGCTTTTTACAGTTTTCACAGAGCTGTGCTGTTCTGTCTTTAGGTCGTTCTTGTCATGATTTTGTAAGTCTGACAGACTGATTTCTCTTGTCTTTTGCTTAAGCTACATACAGCTGTACTTGAGACGTCACATAAATTATATGGCCAAGAATATGTGGGTTTTATCTGTTATAGTAATTTTTTATGAAGACAATGCTTCACCGTACAGTGACATTCTCGAGAAATGTGTGCTTCAAACTTGGTTGCAGTAGCTTCATGCTGAAGTAGAAAACAACCCTCCACAAAATCTGAAGCACACGTTTCTCTAGAATGTCACTGTGTGGAGAAGCTTTGAGATTTGTCTTCATAGAAATGATTGAAGTAATTACACCTATTAATCAGAAGAGGATGTCCGCACTCGTTAGGCCACACAGAGTATATAAAATTCGGTTTCAAAAAGTTTTGGGTAAAAATGCACATTTACTCATAGGTTCAGATTTCTAGACCGTTCAGTTGGATGGTCAGATGAAAGATCTTCCCTGTTGCTGTTGTTATGTGTCTGTTTGCTGGTTAAGGAACCGCTTTTGTCGTTCTTCTCCCACCACTAGCTGTAAACCGTTAGCAGACACAAATTCCCAACTGCCTGTGGACTGTCTTGGCAAAAGTTCAGTGCTGAATGGTTGGCCATACATTCTGTTGTTTAATCAATGTCATGTTGAAACTACATGAGTGCTGTCAACCTTAATTTTACTCCTTTGTAGCAAGTTACAAGAATGTTTGAAATGTGATGTGTGAATAAACACCAGTGATGTTAACCCTGCTGAGAGGTTGAGTATTTGCTAATGAATCCGCTCCAGGGGCTCGTCCCAATACTTTGCACCTGTCTGCTAACAAGATGTATTTCCGTTGAAGTCAGGGTCGGAAATTAGCGGTGGCTTTGGGACAAAAATTCCATCAAAATAACACATTTAAGACAAAGGGGCAAAAAATGACCCTGCACAAATAAACTAAATCTGTAACAGCTGTCGTGATTAAAGTGAAATGTGAACGTTGATTACGTCGATTCTGGCAACCAGCGTCACAAGATGATATTTTAAGCTCCTCATGTAGCCGAATCTGCACTGGTTTGAATGGGCTGCCTCCAGTTTCCCCTTTGTTTTGCTGCCTCCAGCTAGCGCTGTGACGTCGCTGACTCTAGTTACCTGTGGTTGGCCTGGCCGTGTGTCACTCAGAACACAACAGGCCAATCAGAAGAGAGGCTCATGAATATTAATTAGACAGGCCAAAATCGACCTGTTCTCAGCAGAGCTCCTGAGAGAGGAGCTGTAAAAATATATTGAGATGGTTTTTGGTACTTATACCGCAAATATATATTCTTAAGGACATCAAAACCTAAAATAAAACTCCAGAAAGGTGTACAATATGGTACCTTTAAGAGTGCTTACTTCAGTCTCATCACTGACTCTGACCCTGGTTAAAGTGGCGTGAAAGTGTATGTAGAACTTTTGATTACCTGATGGGACACAAATATAGTGAGGTAAAAATGCAAGTAAAATTTGAACACAGCTTTGTTTACAAGGTTTGATTTTCAGTTCATATAAACGAAATGTCTAACACGACACAATTCAGTTGTGGTTCTAATTGACAAAAAGCAGTTGCAAACATTTTACAAGATGGACGTTCCTCATTGCACCAATAAAATGCGCAACACTGTGTTTTACAACCAAATTATATTATATCTAAATATCTAAACTTACTTTGGAAAGTCTTTCTTGACATTGCATGATTTTGGGGCACCTAACTTCCTGAACATGATGAATGAAGGGATGCACTCTCTTCTGATACGACATGCTCTGTGTGAGAATGAGTACTAATCAGTCAAAATATGTTAGACACTCACAGCCAGGACTGTTTAACTCCTGGAAATACTTCAGTAACAGAATAATAAAAATGATAATATTATAATTATTATTGTGACGCACACGACTCCATAGCCGCACAGCTTACTAAACCCTAGCCTGACCTCAGTGATGACCCCATCTTATGTTTTTTCCACCGATGTCAGTGATGTCCACTAGTAAGTGCGGAGCAGGAGTGATTAGTGAACGGGAAATGTGTGTCTCTTCATTGCACTCATTGTGTGTTTTGCTTGGTTAACTTGTTTCAATGATAAAGAAAAGTATCACAATGTACACTATTGAATCTCTGTATTTTAGTATAAATGTCCCTAATGTGCTTTATCTCAATTTTAAGAAGGCAGTAATGTCTCCATTTCAGGCATTTATGTAGTTGTCTTTCTGTACACTTTATCTGTTAGTAGTTACGCACATCTCTGACATCCCTCCTGACTCGGTCAAAGGTCTCAAATTGTGTATATTGTCCTCCCTCTTTATCTGTCATGCGTACATACATTAGCTGTGCATGTCACAGGTTTGTAGGTTTGCTCGGGTGTTGCTCAGAGTTTTACGAACGACGTTCCCCCCGGACTCGCCCCTGTTCACTTTCTCTGCTTGACAAGCGACTTTGTCTCTTTCCAGCTGTTGTGGATCTTACTTTGTAGAGCTCTGATGTAAAATCAGACTTAAAAATGGACTGTGCTATTGCCTTTTGCAGTTTGTTAACCTGCAAACTTTTCTTATGTTGTGCTAAACTACCTGACATGACCCTATAGTGATGAAGACCTGAGTTTAAGTTTAATCTTCACTTCAAGCCAAGCTGACAAAAGGTACGTTTTCTTTCTCACTTTTCATTTGCTCTATGAATAAGTATTTAGGAAACCAAAAGAAAGTGTTGAATTTATGGTCAGAAGTTCCTCGTTCATGACTGTTATAAACCTGCAAATGGGCCATTTATGACCTACGATCGAGGTCTTTTTGCATCTGCTTTTATTTGCTGTATGTTTATGTTGGCATTAAAACATTTGTAATGGACATTTTATAGACTAAAAGTTTTGTTACATAGCCGAATGTGTATTTTTTACTTGTATTTGAATAATCTAATATAGTCTGGCATCTAATGCAAAGATGCTGAAAGGACGTTCTAAATGGAACTCTGAATAAACGTAACATCAGTGAAGAACTATTAGCTTTGTAGATCACACATACCTAGAACTGAACTTATAACCTCTTGTATTAGCAGCTTTTGTCTTAATAAAGGTTTAATATGCCTTAGGCCTATTTCACATTGAACACAAAAGTGCTTGTGTGTGTGTGTTCTGTGCTCTAGCTTGTTTCCTTATCTAGCTGTTCTGATTTCTGACGTTGTATATCATGACAATTGTTGGCTCTTTTTACTTATATCAATTATTGTTATGCTCCTCATTTGGAAGGGTTTAAGAAATAATGTGAGTACTGATATGCAACACAAGAAAGAGTTTATCTGTCCTTCTGTAACCCTAAAATGACTTTTAATTTTTAATTTTCCTCCTGAAATTATCCCAGGTTGGAGTCCTTCATTAAATCTAATTGAGACTACATGTGTTACGGGGCTGACGAGACGTGAGACGTGCGGATCCATATGCAAGCTTTATTGAAACGAAGACAGAGACGTGGTCATGAAACAGGCATGGGTCAGATGAGGGCAAACAGGTATATGGTGGGCAAAACACAAGAATAGTCCTAGGGCTAGAGCAGGTCGACGATCGGCAGACAGAATCAAAAGGGGCAAGACAAAAGGGGTGAATCCAGGGAACCAGGCGAAGATCAGAAACCGAGAAGGCTAAGGCTAAGGCTAAGGCAAATGACTAGGGCTAAGGCTAAGGCGAAATGACAAGGGCTAGGGCTAAGGCTAAGGCTAAGGCTAAATTACAAGGGCTAACTTAATAAAGGTTTAATATGCCTTAGGCCTATTTCACATTGAACACAAAAGTGCTTGTGTGTGTGTGTTCTGTGCTCTAGCTTGTTTCCTTATCTAGCTGTTCTGATTTCTGACGTTGTATATCATGACAATTGTTGGCTCTTTTTACTTATATCAATTATTGTTATGCTCCTCATTTGGAAGGGTTTAAGAAATAATGTGAGTACTGATATGCAACACAAGAAAGAGTTTATCTGTCCTTCTGTAACCCTAAAAATAGAAAATAATGACTTTTAATTTTCCTCCTGAAATTATCCCAGGTTGGAGTCCTTCATTAAATCTAATTGAGACTACATGTGTTAAAGGGCTGACGAGACGTGAGACGTGCGGATCCATATGCAAGCTTTATTGAAACGAAGACAGAGACGTGGTCATGAAACAGGCATGGGTCAGATGAGGGCAAACAGGTATATGGTGGGCAAAACACAAGAATAGTCCTAGGGCTAGAGCAGGTCGACGATCGGCAGACAGAATCAAAAGGGGCAAGACAAAAGGGGTGAATCCAGGGAACCAGGCGAAGATCAGAAACCGAGAAGGCTAAGGCTAAGGCTAAGGCAAATGACTAGGGCTAAGGCTAAGGCGAAATGACAAGGGCTAGGGCTAAGGCTAAGGCTAAGGCTAAATTACAAGGGCTAAGGAAATGACAAGGGCTCCGTAAAGTAGCTAGCTCTAGGGGAGTGATAAATGCTGAAACAATACTCGGCAGAGGGAAGGGATCAGAGTGAGTGTTAAATAGTGAGGGAGTGATATGAAACAGCTGGGTGCAATCAGTGTAAACAGGTGTGTGCAATTCGTGCTGAGTGCAATCAGTGCAATGCATGATGGGAAATGTAGTCCGGGGTGCTATGCAACAGTTTGTGTGGTGCGAGAGTCAATGAAAAGGAAAGTTCATGGACCGGATTCGTGACAACATGATAAAGAAATTAATAAAAGCTTCCAAGCAGTAATTTTTCTGTGATGTCACCACATTGCTCTGTCTTGCCATCCAATCGCATGATTAGGGTATCATCATATTTTTGGGAATCAATAAATGTGCCATTTCCAGTAGATGCAGGAATGCACAGTTATGTCTGGCAACAAAATCCAGATGCATGAATCAAATCTGCACATACGACAAAACCAAATTAGCCAGAAAGGAAATATTATGATCAGTAGATCTGCTGTACTACTAATCTTTTTCATTAAGCAGCATATCAAGAACAGGGCCCAGCTGCCAGAAGCTGTGTAAATGTGCTGTGACATGATTGAAGTGTTGTTTATGAAAGTTAGGGTCAATATGGCAATAACAACAGCTGTCATATAGTTTCTTAGGAAGGGAAAACTTGTAAAATAAGCACTAAAACCTTTATGGGGAAGGGGAAAAACCTAATGGATTTTAAATGTTGACACAATATAACTAGTAATATGGATTGTTGTGTCATTGTTCCACGATGTGTGTTGATTTGCTAATATTAAATCAATGTATTGCTCTCTTCTTCACGCAGGTTTTACGGATTTCAGAATGGATGTTTGGTGTGGAAAGTCGTAGTAATGGCTGCGGTGATGCAAAACATCTCCGGGAGCAATGTGGAGGCCCAGCTGATCTATGCCATCACGCTGCCTGTCTCCTGTGCCATCATCCTGATCAACCTGCTCATCATCCTGTGCATCACCTGCAACCGGCAGCTTCACAACTCACAGAACTACTTCTTCCTGAGCCTGCTGGTGGCCGACTTGTGCACCGGCGTGGCGCTTCCCTTCATCCCTTGGATGGGCCTAAACCGCCCTCTCAGCTTCTCGTCCTGCCTGCTGGTGCACATCTTTCCCAACTTTCTGTTCCTGGCCTTTCTCTTTAACCTGGTGCTGGTGCACTACGAGCGTTACCAGAGCATCGTGAGTCCGCTTCAGCGCGGACAGCTCTGGCTGCATCGGCGGTTCGCTCTGCCGCTGCTGGCTGTGTGGATGCTGCCGCTGCTGTTTGCACTG